GAGGGAAGTTTTTGAGTTAGCCAAGAATCTGTGAAACTTAGCTCTTAACATTTCACTAGCTGCAGTTTATATTAAAATCTACTTTAGTCTAGGGTTAAGTGACGGCTATGGTCTTCACAGCATGGTGAGGGACCCTGGTGGCCAGATAAAGGGAAGCCCCTTATTCTTATTTCTGACTTTCCTGCAAACTTATATATTATGACCCTAATAGAAGGGCTTATTGCTTCTTCCACTAAATAAAAAACAAAACAAAACAAATTTTAATGCTTTCCTCTAATTAAAAATAAAATTACAGGATTGCATTACTCTTCTAGTGCCCTTAAAGTTGTCAAAGTTTGCCTGCGGGCTATCCAAGGGCATGGACTGCTTCCGACTCAGTCCCTCTTTTATTCACAGAGCCTTACATGGTGCCTGGGTAGTATGGAAAACACTCGATGAATGAAATGAATGAACAAATGGAAAGATAGAGCCAGAGTCATATCTTAGTGGCCTAATTATATCTTTTCAGGGTAATGTAATATTTAAAAAGAGATAGTGATAACACATTTCTAAAAGGACATGAATGGCATATGTAACACTTCTCAAGAAGAAAGGATTCAGCTTCTATCACTTAATCAAGGTTTTTAATTACAGAAGCATTGAAAATTCACTGTGGCTGAATATGGATGAATCTTTAAAGCAGTTTGAAGGCCCAGGCTGCCCTTGTGAACATCAATACTCCCACGGAGCACTTTCCATGAAGAAAAGTGCGAGCTTGCTGTCTTTTCATCAACACTAGAATTTGGCTGACTGCCTGGTTTATCCCAGGACATTAGTCAGCCCACAAGTCCCACATTTGTTTATTCAGTCCAGAGCAAGTGAATACTGCCATTCTCCCATCTCCTTTGTTGGCAAATGCTTTGTTAACCTGAATTGAGTTCTGCAACGCAAAATGAAGTGACTAATCTTTTGGGGGGTTTCCCCCTCCCAGGTTCTTGTATGAGCAACTAAGTCTATAGGCCACAAAGCCCCACACTATCGTTTTTCCTCATGCTGCTCTTTTATTCTGATGGTTCCACATTGTACTTAAGGAAACCAATACCTTCCAGAGTGTGGTTGAATTGGCGCCACCATTAAGAAAAGGAGGTTACTAGGCTTTTTAGTATTGTGAGAAAATGCTGGTGGCGAGGGGAAGTTAAGTTGATTATTTATACTTAGGTAGTCCATTATGGGCATTTGCAACAGTTGTCACCTTGCACACTCAAAAAGTTTTCTAACTCTGAGTACGTGGGTCTGAAAGTACAGGAAATAGGAATCTTAATGCAAAATATTTTGGATGATCATATAG